TTAAAGCAGTTCTCAATCCCTCCATAAAACTGGTCTGTAATTCAATCAAAAACTTCATCGGCAATTGTTTATTAATGTCTTGATAAAACACTGAACAAAAGTGTTCTATCATTATAAAAGCAACCATAAAATCGTTGGGCTTTAAATGAGAGTAAAAGGCATATTTTAATTTCATTCCTTTATTTAACGTCGGTCTCTGTTCCGCAATCTAGTGCCAATCACCGACGGACATCGATTGCCATCCATTGACGGCAATCGAATGTGCAGGAAGGCAGCTTCCACACCTGCGTAGGATATCGCACCCATTCAACACACATGGGCCGGGACCAACGGCTTTACTTCCCTTCCGAAGGAAGACGTGACCAGAGATTTTTATGCCTCAGAAAAATCCCACCGACCTCGGCTGGGACCCATTGGGGTGTTAGAAAGCAGTCACGCTTACCACTACACCACCGGCGCCGGCTGGGCATATTTTAATGCATTTAGTCTTTTTAAAGTGTATTATAAAATCCTCAATTCCTCTGTTTACAAATTGATCTATACAGATATGGATCCTCATAGTGAATCCAACCAAAATGTATGACAAGGAAATCTCGAAGGATAGACGAAGTAGGATGACAAATTCAAGTGATTCTAACGATCGAAGGGAAGTCGATTTCAGCAAAATTTACTTCTTTAGAAGAGCCAGCACGTCCGGCTGACCCGGTATTAATAGGTGACGATAGGAATTACTTGGATCAGTACCGACAGCTAACTATCAAACTGCCAGTTAGCAGAGATTAGCTGTTTTTCGATCCATGGCAGCGATTTTATTTGGCGAAAGGATCAACTCATCAAAAATTACATTCAAGCGTACATTCCTGCGTTGTGCACTTCGGGATCTTCTTCGGGAACAAGCTGTTCGAAATGCTAAATAAAATACAACAGTATCGCACATTTTCTGAGTAACTGCTTAAAATCCATTGCCTGGAAGAACGCTGGATCGCACAAAACAAACATACACACACAATGTGGACGTCCAAAGCAAGCCAAGAATAAATTTTGAGTAGCATTTTTTCCTTACATCTTGGATTTTAATCGATTTGGTGAAATCAAAATTCATTATTTGGCATGATAGGTTCTTTTTTTTTATTATAGTCAGTTTAACACCCTTGGGTCATTTGTGACTCCGGGGGTGATATTTGAACTCATGGCTTTGGCGTGAGAGGAATAGATGCTGACCACTACGCCGGGGTCGTCCCCTGGCATGATAGGTTTTAATTCGAATCTGGTCTGGTTAATTCCCCCGGTGGCATCTGGGGCATGTCCGGAACTGACCAATAACCATGCCCGGAGCTGACCAATGACCGTGACACTCGAAATGGTCAGAATTGATTTTGATATCATATTTTGAAGTAATTTGTTTTGTCGCATGATAGGTTTTATTGCTTACCGGTCAAATTTAGTATCATGGCTCACATTCTCCGGAACATGTTCTTGACACATTTCCAGCAGCAGTTGACCGGTTCTAAATCTGTTCAAAAATGTTCTATGGGTTATGGAATCATAATACTTTTCATTTGGTGGTTTTTGCGTGCAATTCACATTAGTTATTACCGAGAAAGATGACTTAGTTCCCAAAATCCATGTTTCTCGGAAATCGTCCCACCCATATCTCCGGAAATAGTTGACCGATTCAAAATTTGTTCAAAAGCATTCATTGTGATTATAATACCTGGTTGTTTCATTTAATTCGGTTATGTGGTTGGCAACAAACACCACTTAGTTCCCAAATTCCGCGATTTGTTCATATCTCCGGAACCAGTTAATCGGTTGAAAATCTTTGATTTGGTGGTTGTTGCGTTCAATTCAGTAGAGCGGTTGCCACACACATACACAGACATATATTTTCCGATCCCGTATCGTCGAAAAAAATAACAATGTTTTTATAAAATGTAAAAAAAAAACAAAAACTCAAAAACGTGAAAATAAAGTTGATTTAAAATAAGACCAATTGTAAATTTACTCCACCATTATTTGATTTGACAGAACCAGAGTACCAGAACTTTCAGTGTACATTGACATTAGACTGGAGCTGTCAAATAGCTCTCGGGATGCATTTTACTCACTCACAGAGTAACCCATTTTTTTTTTAATTTTGGGTCGAAATTGGCTCATGTTTGAGCTAAAGGGTGTCCACGATGAAATTGCCACACACAAAATTGATTCGCAAAATTCGAGTTTTCATCCGATTGCCATCAAATTTTCAGGGATTGAGAAATAACTATTAAACTTCATTTTACCATTTTACTCGTATTTTATTTACAGTCCATACGCAAATGCCCGCACCTTGGCCTTAACCCCGGCCATAAGATTCTGCACAACCTGTGAATCAACCGTTTTTTGCATGTAAACCCATACTTTCTTCAGTTCCTAGACTGTCTTCACTACCTTAGGTCGTTTAAGAAGGTGCTGCTTCATAATCGCCCAGTACTTCTCGATGGGGTGGAGCTCCGGAGTGTTGGGAGGGTTGAACATTTTCGGCACGAAATTGACCTTATTGTCCGCATACCACTTCAGCACGTCCTTGGAGTAGTGGCATGAGGCCAAATCCGGCCAGAAGATTGTTGGGACGTTGTGGGCCTTCAGGAGAGGAAGCAGCCGCTTCTGGAGGCACTCTTTTATGTACACCTGTCCGTTCATCGTGTCCTGGGTCACGAAAGGTGCACTCCGCTTCCCGCAAGTGCAGATGGCTTGCCAAACCAGGAATTTCTTCGCAAATTTGGACATCTTCTGAGTGCGGACATGCTCCGGAACGCTGAACTTATCCTTGGCCGTGAAAAACAGGTTGCCGGGGATCTGTTTGAAGTCAGCCTTCACATATGTTTCGTCGTCCATGATGCAGCATTCAACTTTCGTCAGCATGTTGAGGTACAACTTCCTGGCACGGGTTTTGGCGGACTTGTTCTGCTTCTCGTCGCGATTAGAGGCCTTTTGTACCTTGAACGTTCGAAGCCCAGCTTTAGTTTTGGCCTTCTGGACAAAACTTCGGCTTAGGTGCAGCTTCTTAGCCACATCCCTAACGGAGGCGTTCGGATTTCGGTTGAAGGCCCCAACTACGCGGTTGTGATTTTTGGTGTTGTACGGAATACTTTTTCCTTCACTTCTGGGCTTCCGATCGGTGGTCAACCGTTCCTCGAACCGCTTAATCACTCGCGACACCGTGGAATTCGCGATTCCCAACGTTTTAGCGATGGAACGATGCGAGAGATCCTTGTTCTCGTGATGAATGCGCAAGATTTTAGTTCTTTCGACTCCATTTCCGCGAGTTTTGATCACAGGACTTTAAAACTTGCAGGATGTAAATAATGCACTATGAACTAAATCCACCCAAATTTTCATTAAATTCTACCCAACGGTTAAAAAGTTAGAGCAATTTCATAGTGTGGCAATTTCATCGTGGACACCCTTTACTCTCTTTGGCCGTGTAACAAAGCTATGGAAAACCCCGCATCCAAGCAACATTTACGGTTTTATTGTGGTCTTCAAGTTCATTGTAAGCTTTATAAACATCTTCAAAACCATACTAAAAATAAAATTGCTACTAGGGCAGCTTAACTTAAAAGTTTACTACTTAGGACGTATTACACAGCAAAAACTTTGTGAATTTACATGTTCCACAATGATGTATTTTCTGGCCTTAGTTGAAACCAAGCTTGCAAATGCTCATTACAGCTAAAATGCTATTTTTCGGATCTATGAAGCTCTGAGATATTTTAATGATAATTCTTTTTTACAAGATCCAAGAACAGACGGTAAAGTGTGTAAAAATAGCAGTTTAGCTGTAATGAGCAATTGCAAGCCTGGTTGAAACATTCAGCAATCAGGGTTGCTTCCACTCACTTGCTATAAAAAAATATTTTTCGGAATTATGCAATCATTAGATGTTATAATGATATGTTGTATTAGTAAGTAACAAGAAGAGGGTGTAAAGTATGTGTTTGACTGATAAAACCTGTCAATTCCGCTTTGAGAGCGTCACAATCAGCGATCTTATAATTCGTGAGCGTTCACTCAGAGTGAGCGCTCACGAGTCGTAAAATCGCTGATTGTGACGCACTCAAAGCAATATTGACAGATTTTATGTGTCAAACATATACTTCATGACCTCTTCTTGTAACTTACAAGTACTTATTAGCATTACACTATTTCATGATTTCATAATTCCGAAAAACATTTTTTTATAGCAAGTGAGTGGAAGTAACCCTTTCAGCAATAAAACATTAATTTTACATAAAAATTGTTTAGAAAAGCTTCATGGTACATTCATTTGCATTATATTTTACATACATGTGTGTTGTTACATGGAAGTCAAAAGTTCAATAGAAATTGATTTAATCTTCAACAAACCACGATATAAATTTACAGCTATAATGCATAGAATTAATTCCAGCTATAATGCATAGAATTTCAGATTGTTATTTTTATTTTTAAAAACCTGCTCCAGTTGCTAGTTGAAATTTTTAAAATATGTATCGCGTACATCGCTAAGTCACAATTGATTCAATTTTATCAAAACAAACTAGATATAAAATACTGATGAATTTGGGTGTAGATAGTGGAATACTTATATAAAGACAAATAAAGGAACTGATGAAGATATGAATTTGCAGTTCATAATGAAAGTATACCTCTATGACTTAAAAACATGATTTTGTATAGAAAAACAGTCCACTCTCGCGTGTAGCTATCTTTCCAAGATAGCTATATAGTATAGTTATACCACAGACTAACAGACATAACTCTTGCATGTCTTTCATCGAACACGCATTTAACGGTCAATTTAAATGTTTGTTAGTTGGTAGTGCTACCGTACACACAACCGCCATCTGTTCAGCGTAGTTCCCATTACAGTGTATTCAACAGATGGCTATAGTAATTTAGAGACGATGTTTTACAGTGAAAAGTACACAATGTGTTATGTCTGTTTGTCTGTGGTTATACTGTGAGTATATACTTACAATTAAAAATACACTTTTGGAAACTCGATGGCACGTTTCGATTTCGTATAGGTGATCATCCAGCACATATGGATCCAAGTCCACCACCGAACAGCCGCTACCCGTTCCAAAATGGATGTCCACAAGCTCAACCTTAGAATCGAAATGAAATAACAAAAATAGAGGAAGCAAGCACAAACAATCGACGAATTTCCCCTCAATTACCTCAATTTGTCGATCATCGTAAGCCGACTGTAAATCGGGTCCAATCACTTCGAGCAGCAACCGTCGTTCCTCTTTGAAGTCTTTATCCCATTCCGGTTGAGTGGAGTGAAGAAAAAAGGTGAAACGATGGAGAATAAAAGAACACGTTAGAAACAGTCAGTTTACACATAGTTAAACGCATCGCACACGGCAAGGACATTTAGGCGAGTGTTAGATCGTGCTCGTTGGTGCGGGTCGTTGGTAGCTGGAAAGACGGTTTCTGACATGTGTAGGTGCACAGGTGATTTATTTTGCCACGTGAGTGGTGATTGTGTGTGACCCTTGGATAAAAACAGAACAGGTTGGAATGACAGAATCTGTTGTATTCATTAGCCAGAATCAGTGTTTGTCATTGGAACATTAGCTGGTTTTAGCTCCCTTTTTTTCCGATGTACGTTAGGCCATATTTATTTCAAATGTATCTGCATTTACCGACATGTTAGTATTGCAGAATTATTACGGATAAGTATTCATTATCTATAATGTATTTCCGTTAACAAACATCGTACAATATCGCGTAGCTTCAAGATCTGAACTCCAGGGAGAAATGAAAACCCTCACAGAGCTTCATATAATAAATCTGGACATCATACAAGGCTTTGATAAGCCGGTACAACGTCATGACCCAATCTTTAGAATAACTTTGAGACCCCAACATGGTTTGCCATCACAACCAAAAATCCCACATGATTATGGGTATCTACGAAGGTTTTTGGGTTCACAAATATAGTCGATACATCTTACAATTCTTCATTGAATCTGTAGAACTTTAAGATCAGATCTCAATTGGAGAATGGAGACAATTTGGAAAATGGAACATGTTTTGTTAACACTGTTATATGCATCACATGATGTTGCGGGGCTCTATGATGCGGGATGAGTTATAAAAAAAATCAGATGGTATATCGTACAAGACGCTGTTGAGTCTGCAGAACTTGAAGAGCAAGTGTATTAGAGTGTATTAGAGCAGAAAAATTGAGAGTGTATTAGAGCAGAAAAATATCTATTTGCCAATGATTATGCCATAACTGATCGAACATAATGCTAGTGGGCTTAAGGAAGCTACGGTATCAAAAATTCAATCGGAACATAGTATACTTCTTTGGTTTTTTTTTTTGTTTTTCCTTTGGTTTGTTTTTTCCGTGCTGAGCACCTATGCTACCGACGTGCCAGGAAGGCAGCTCCCACACCTGGACCCTACCTACCTATCGACCCATCAACTCATGAACCGGGGACCAACGGCTTTACTTCCCATCCGAAGGAAGGCGTGATCAGAGATGTTATGCCTCAGAATATCCCGGCGGCGCCGACTGGGATTGAACCCAGGCCTGCTGGGGTGAGAGGTAATCACGCTTACCACTACACCACCGGCGCCGTTGTATACTTCTTTGGTACATCGTATTATAATGAACCTGTAGAACTTCAAAATCGAATCTCCTAATCTGGTTATCTTTTATTACCACGTTTGTCCTGCTAACGTCTCTTGTATTGTAATATGTCTTTTTAATCATACTGATACAACATTTAGGTCGTTATTTGAAGAGAATTCTAAACATTTATGCAAGGTATGATTATATTTGAATAGAAATGAAAGATTTATCCATTGGACAACATTGGAAAATTTAAATCATATCAGATTTCAAATAAATTTGGAATATCAATCGAATTATATATAAATCTATATTTATCTAGAAATCGGTATACCTGTATATACAGAATCTTGGTAAAGATTTGATTAAGAAAATCTGAAAATACGGAATATTCTGAGAAACTGTCAATCTGTTCTAGAAGAGACGTTTTTTTCGACGGTGCCGTCAACGCCAATAAAACCTGACGAGAGAGAATGAGGGAACGAAAAAAAGAGGGTAACAGAGATTCAGAATTCTCAACCAGCGTTGCCAGATTTATCTAAACAAAATATCAAGATATCGGTTGTATAAGGTTATTTGAAGATTATTTACGGCCATGAAATATCTTATAGATCTTGTGACCTTAGATAGTTTTCAACAATCGCGGGCTACAATCTTTTCTTTTTTTTTTATTTTGGATTATTTGACAAGGTTTAAGTCATTGAAATACTTCTGAGATACTGGAAAATAAAAATCAGTGATAGTTCCAAGCAATCTCTGATAAGAATTTCATGTTATTTCTGAGAAGGATTCGTAGGGAATTGTGAGGAAAAGCCGTTGAAAACTCCCAAATTTATTTTAAGAAAAAAGAAGAATCTGAGGGATTGTGTGTACAATTCAAAAAGATCGAAAGAGATGTTGAGAAAAATAATGATTTTCTGGGAAATACACTGCAATAAAAGTTCACTTAATATTCACCTGAAAAAGTACGTCGATATTTTCCATCGTACTCTTCAGGTGAAAATTACGTGTTTTGGGAATGAAAATCTGTTCCATGTGATTCATATAGAAATCAAGTGATTTTCACGTAAATTTTATCGAACGTTCCGATGATCTACACATAGGTTTCACTTAAAAGCTACGTGAATTTTATAGTGAATGTTACTGGATTTTATAGTAATATTCAAGTGCCAAGGTGGTAGATTTCATTTTAATTTCGGTTTATCATTTTATTGAATTTATCGAGGAATTTATCATAAATCATGCATTTTAGTTCAAACCTTGATTTGTTTTCCGTCGCTCTTGTTTTCCGTGCTGAGCAACAATGCTACTGACACCAGGGAGGCAGCTGTCTATATATGCATTAAGATTATTATTCGAAGTCCCTCCTTTTTTACACATTTTACACACAAAATAGCTCACCCCTCACAGAATTTTCCGCCGTTTTTTATTGATGGAGCGGGGCAGAAAGTATCTTTTGTGCAGGATATGTAAAAAATAGGGGCCTTCGAATGTTAACCCAAATGCATATATAAAGATACCAGACATGTTTTGTAGTGACAGGTACTCTATTTTGTAATCTGTGAAAGGAAAATCACCAATCGGGTAATCAAAATACATGACATGTTAAGAGATTGAAGCGATGAAAGAGAATTTTCTATCTTAAATTTGATTTTTTTTTTTGGCGTCGGGGTAGTAAAGCAGGTTAAACTGTATGTGGAAAAATAATTTTTATTTAATTGTAGCTTGTTTAACAATAATCTCCGGGAAAAACTGTACGATAATGTCCCTGACTAATAAATTTAGCTTGTCGTTCACTTTTGTTGACCTGAATATGCACCGAAAGCGAATTATTCCCACTTCTCTCAATTTCTATATGGGGATTTTTATTAGACCTGTGCGCCGCCGCGCCACGCCGCCGCCGCCGACGATTTTCATACGCCGCCGCCACCGATGAAATTGAGCCGGCGCGCCGCCGCAGTAAAATCTTTCACGCCGCCGAATAAATTTATGTCACGCCGATGAAAAATCCGTAGCACCTTTTCGGTAAAATGCATTTTGATTGCATTGATATTAGAACTTTGTGTGTGGTGCAGCGATTGTCATTTAGTTTTTTGACGTTTGTTCGCACTTTCTCTATCTAGCACACAGGAATGAATCATTTGGATTGGATTTACATAAAGGTGAATAAGAGACTTTTATCAACATCAAGTTGATATTGAGCTTTTTTAAATCTCTCACAGGTCCAAGTTGTGCGGGATTCTACGTATATCCAAAATACATCTTCAAATACATAAACAAAAAGTTATATGACTACAATGCGTGTAAATTAAAATATATATCAGAGTAATACAAGCATATCATTTATCGCTATCCACATATTAATAACGTGTAATGCTCAATAAATGAAAGAATTCTTAGGGCCCATTAAAATGTTACGTAATGCAACAGATTGCTTTTTAATACTATGTAGGGGTGGATAACGTACTTTTCTTATACTTAATACAAAGGTTGTAACAAGCACTTGATATACTTTCCATGCACGGCCAATGAGAAAGACTCAATATTGAGTAATAGTTTCTCATATTTGAGATCAGGTTACTCAAATTCGCTAAAACGTAGGTCACTCCTAGGGTCACTCATAGAATGAGTCAATTTTCCGACGCTTTTCCGAGCAAAAGTTCTTGAATATGAGGAAAACTGATTGTGGTTTTAGTATGTTTACTAGTACACTTCTAACCTGTGTAAATTTTCTTAATTGTTCCCCATATTCGATTTTTTTATTTTAATTCCAATTTTTATTACATTTGTTCAGTTACGTTACTGATTTGAAAATAACTGATCATGAGACCTTAGTGATCAATTTATTAGATAATATAAATAACAACGATGAATTAGTAAAATTGAAGCGCTGGAGAAAATATTCAAAGCAGGCTGTTTCGAATCTTGTTGGGAGGAGCATGGATTTTCCATTCGCGGCCAGTAACTTAGATGAATAAAGAGCTGTTCTTAATAACGCTTTGAAAACGTGTACCAATCAACTACTTGAGCAAAAGTTTGTTTCTTTGAAAAACTCGAACAGCTGGTACAATTTGGATCTTTTGCGTCTTAAACGGAAAAGGGACAAATGGTACAAAAAGTTTTGTAGATCAAATAATGACACTCATGGGAATAGGTACACAATCGCGCGTAATAAGTATTCACAATCGATAAAGAAAACTCGTTGTGAATATGTTCAAAGGAAGATTGATCAGCATCAAAACAACAGCAAAGAGTTATGGAAATTTTTTAAATCTTTATTAAAACCTAGTAATTGCAAACTGCGGTCCATAACTTTTAATGGAACATTAGAACAGCGAGAACAAGTAATTGCATCTTAGTTTAATGATTATTTTGTAAACAGTGTTTCATTGATTAATCAATTTGTTGGATTGGTCGATGAACCTGACGAAATAAAACAGCCAGTTAATTAAAGTTGTAGATTTGAAGTTTTCCAATCATTTACATTAGATGAACTTAGAGTTATTTATTTATCATTAGGAAAATCGGCTGGAGTAGACAATGTTGCTGCTAGAGTTATTCAAGATTGCTTCCATGTCATTGGAAGGAAACTAAGGTTCCTATCCAAAAAGTTGCTGGTACGATTAAAGCCGAAGAGTTTCGTCCCATCAACATGTTGCACACATTAGAGAAAATTTTAGAACTTGTTGTTAAAGGCCAGTTGTTGGAGTATTTAAATAGTAACAGTTTGTTGATACCAGAATAATCGGGATATCGAGAAGGTCATTTTTGTCAAACCGCGTTGAATTTGGTATTAGCGAAGTGGAAAAATAACTTGGAGTGTAAAGATACGATTGTTGCTGTATTTTTTTTTTTTTGGATCTTAATCGCGCTTTTGAAACAATTTAAACACAGCAAAAAATAAAGATTGATATTTCATCCAAGAGGATGCACTACAATCATGTCGAAATTCTCATGCAATTTTAACTGTCACAAAAATAACCCAATGTAGTTAAAGCAGCGTAATGTCAGTTCATGTACTGTATTTATGATAATTTTGTCCTTTTTGGCAAGTTATATTACACCATATTTTTAGAACGATTGAAGTGCACCTACTTTGATGTGATAACAACATTATTTTTTTGCTGTGTAGGCTCTTATTGTTAAGATCAATCACGCGCTTTGGAATTACGAGTACTGCATATAAATGGTTTGAAAGCTTTTTGTCTGACAATTGGCTGTGCAAATCTCGACAAAAAAAGTTTTACTGAGATCTCAGCAAACATTACATTTGTTTGCTGAGATTCAGCTAAGCATTATCCGAGACTCAGCAATCAAATGTCATTTTTGCTGAGATCTCAGTGAAACTTTTTTTTGCTGAGATTTGCACAGCCGAGCTCGGTAGAAACAAAAAAAAACTAAGTTTATACTTAGACAATGCAATTCTTCATTCAAGTGTAAAACGCTCGATAGAAAAAACTAAGTGTGTAGATGGTTGAAATATAAGCAATTGAAATTGAATACAAGTAAAACTAAATATATGGTAATTTCGTGGAGTCGAGTAAGTGAGAATGTCTCTGTTTTTCCTTGTTTCAAGATCATCCTCGATCCAGGCAACCCTTATCACTATCAACAAGGCATAAAAAGTAACAAGGACTAAGATTTGTTCCTTTGATTACTGAAAAATCCTGTTCCCCTAGTTTGAAGTACTCAAGACTAGGAATCGGTGGTAGATCTTACATCGCGTAACGTACCACGAAAAGGTGATCTGTCCACGTTACGGGACTGGAAGATGCCTTGAGTTAGTAGTAAATTTTCTGGCAAATGTCGGGGGCTCATGAGCATTCCTGACATTGCTGAAAATTAAGATAGCATAAGATTGCGGGGTTGCTAGTGTAATAGGATGCTCTGTTGGTTTTTCATTAGCTCTAGATCGCTTGCAATACTTATGAATATTTTAGGTAGACAAAACAGCGAACTAAAAGGTGGACGCCTGAGCTTTTCCACATTTATATCGCTGTGAAGCAACTGTAAACTCTACACAGATAAAAATTCTGAATTTTAATAGTGATGTAAACATTCATTCACGTAGACTTGTATTTCATTTCACGCAACCGAGCAACTTACAAACAATGTTGTTTGCAAAGATGGGCTTTTGTATACAGTATTTGCTACATTGCATGAAATGTGTCAGAACTTTACATGATATATAATGTAAACGTATATGATATGTGACGCTCCATTTATGTGCATCATATTGAACAGAAATTTACGCTACTTTTTCGAACTGTGTAGAGGGAATTTATATCTGTAACTGTAACAAGTTCAATATCATATTTCATTATCTTAAAGATAAATCGTCCAGCTCAGACCTTTGTAGGGGTAAGAGGTGGGAGCATCATCATCATCAGAAGTTTTTCCCGGGCAGTGTCGAAAAATTTATTCAAACTATGAGTGACCTACGTTTTAGCGGTTTTGAGTAATCTGAAATTTGTCCATGTGCCAATGCGGTTTGGAAAGTATTTTTTTTTGTATATCATTAAAAATAAACTCACGCCGACCCACGCCGCCACGCCGCCGCCGCCGAAAGCAAACGGCATGACGGCGCCGCCGCCGCCGACAGAAAATAACATATCACGCCGCCGCCGAAAATATTTTGATCGGCGCACCGGTCTAATTTTTATCACTTGCTGCCAGCGGAACAGCGCCATCTCTGTGGAAAAGCCGGACGATATGATTAATTTGAAAGACCCAGAAAGTAGACGCGGACATCGGAATAAGAAGCATTATCAACGGCAAGGACATCCTTCGAACAGCTGAGTTTGACTACAATGACCACCTGCGTGATGCTGCTTCCAGGAAAGCCAACTGAGCACGCTGTCGCTGGAAATTCCTAAGTACTCCAGTTTGTTCGCTTTGATCCAAAATGGCAGTTTAATTTGCGACGGGGATGGTCACCACAAACTTTTAAAATTACAGGTATCAAAAATCACTATTTTTCATCAGCTACACGGCAGCTGTCCCAAACGATCTAAAGAACACCAGAAAAAAAAAAAACAAACAAACAAATAACAGCCCATCTCAGGACCACCATTCGAAAAACAGCCGGCCCTTTTCAGGGCCACCAATTCAAAAACGGAAATAGTTCAGATCAGGGTTACTTCCACTCACTTGCTACAAAAAAATGTTTTTCGGAATTATGAAATCATGAAATAGTATAATGCTAAACGAACGCTCACGAATCATAAGATCGTTTATTGTGACGCTCTGAAAGCGAAATTGACAGGTTTGATGAGTCAAACACATGCCTTACACCCTCTTTTTGTTACTTACTAGTACAACATATCATTATAACATCTAATGATTGTATAACTCCAAAATATATATTTTTTATAGCAAGTAAGTAGAAGCAACCCTGGTTCAGATAATAGATTATCGATTAATTAAAAGAACTAAAGGTTCAACATATTTGTTCCGTCCACTAGCCTTCCTTCGTCAAGCTTCTTTTTGTGCCTCTAGACATATGCTCACTTGTCTCGTCTGCAAGAGTGCTTGACTTCCTATTCTAGAGCCGAGTACCGTTGACGGGCTTCGTTCTTGGCTCCTCTGGTTCTTGTACGCTCAATCGCGGCTTTTGCTTCTCTACGCTTCTCAATCTTCCGCCAAGTTTCATCAGTGATCCACTCTTTCCTGTGAGTGCGCAGCTCACCCAGGTTGTTCTCGCTTGTTTCTATAATTGCACTCTTGAGGGCCGTCCATTGTTCTTCCATTGTTATGTCGTTTTCGTTTTTGCGGTGTAGCACTGGTGTAGTGTAAGCAGGAATAAGCGCGAGTCTTTGACAGCTCAACATCAGTTGTTTGTAAGCAAAGGTGCATCCTATATCTACAGTGTTTTACAGTGTACAGATTCTACACCCTAAAATATTTCGGTGTACGGCAGTGTAGCACCGGTGTAGCTACACCGCAAAAACGAAAACGACATTAGGTAGGTTCCGATTCTACACGTTGTAGTTTCATTTTAATACCTGTGCTCTTTATTTTACCTATGGGATGAGTATTTAAGGGGGTTAGGTTTTTGATAAGTCTTTAGTAGGAATAGAACTGATGAAGACTGCACTTTGTACTCGAAATACGTATACGTATAATATGTGGATACCACAATTTTTAAGTGGAATTAAATGGAAGAAAACCTTTTTTGCTGTTTTACAGAATTGATGTCAATTTAGGGCCAAACCATTAAAATTTGTTTTCTTTTCTTCACATCCTTGTCCATGGATCCAAAAGCTAGTAAGATCATGAAACAACTTCAAAAAAATTGTATACGATGTATACAAAAGTGTGAAAAACCAGCTTTGACACACAATTTTAAAACAATAACTAGACCAAATATGAAGATCATAAAAATACCTAAATGAATAGATTTTATTTATTTGCGTGAAGTTAACTTTTTAAGAAGAAAATGACATAAATAATTGAAGATCCTTTTTTCATTTTCGATACAGTCCTTATGAACAATGTTACAATTGTCTATTATGAAACAATTGATAGAACATTCAATACATTTGTAATGCATTTCGAACCAACAATATTATACACCTTACTTACAGTTATTACTCCATTTTTACGCTGAGGTTAGTGCCAACTGTGGACGGTACCGCCCACCACATAAATGAAAGAATTACTATATTTGCAACCTGCCAGTAACAATCGGTTAGTGATTATCAACCCTTGCACAAATCACGTTTCCAAATGGAGACTCATAAAAACGCATAACCACGTCAGCCAACAACCCGCACGTACACCTCACAAGTGAACAAAAAGGAAACTGTCGAAGAAAAAGCACTTGAAGCTACGGAAGCAAAAGGTTACCGATGTGTAAGTAATCGCTCACCTTCCTTTAAGCTGGCAACATAAATCTTGATAATGCGAGGAGACGGTAGCTTCGTCTTCTCGTTGTGATGCCCTCTCAGTGCATTGAAGACGGCTTCCTCGATTACAGCGGCCATGGTTCTACCGATCTACTTTTCCCAAGACCTCGTTTTCCTCACATTTGACACGCGCCCCCGATGGCACTGTTGAAACGCCTTGTGGTTATTCCCACTCACACACAAACATACACACTTTGGTTGAATTCACTGCCACCGACAGGGACTTTCCTTGACGTCTTCGAGTTCCAACCCTGCAAATCCTCCACGGCAACTGTTCAACAGGCGGAAATCTTGCTTTTGTGCTTTAATTTTACTTTTGCTTTTTATGTTCGGCCGAGGTTGTGGTCGGAGCACTACCGATGCGATGCAACAAAGACCACTTCAGGAAAGATGTTATTTCACTCGAAGAAAGCTTGTTACGCGTTCCTTGAATGAATTCGCTGCAGGGCAGGTGAGCAAGTCATCGAAAAGAAGCGGTGTAGTTGAGCTGCTGATTGCGTTTTTCCTCTACATTTCCGCTTGGCCGGGTTGCGTTTTTCCTTCACTGATAATCATGCCAGATGAAGATTGCATCACACCTGGAGCATCCTAGGGGGAAATGAGAAGAATGTAAAGAATATAAAGCTATAGTGGTTTGACTTCGTTTCATGTATAAATTAGCGGAAAATTGAGTTTGAACGATGGAAGCAAAGAGCAACAGGGCGTTCTGAAAAGCAAGATGGGCTCTCCAGTGTATGGGATTCAAAATGAATGAAATTCAAAATTGCAAAATACAATGAGGGACCATGAATAAATGAAGAAAACAGAGGAAGAGTTGAGAAAATTTAAATTTGATCGATCAACATTCATACACCATTTGGTGATTTCTACTTAAATTCCTCTTTTTAATTCAAACTGTTCCGTACACCACTAGAGATATCAAGTCAGAACTATATGATTGGAGTTAATTGTCTACGCAGCATTTCGGCATCCGTAACGAATGGATATCTTCCCTTCAAATCCATAACGCGTAGGTCACGAACGATAGCACACTGACCGGCACGGATAGGAATGAATTATTGTTGGCCTTAATTGGTGTTAATTAAACATAAAGCTTATGAAAGACGCTTCCGACGCTGCATTTGAGTAAGGCGTTCCCGGAATCGTTTTACCCGTGAGCAAGAAGCTAGCAGCTATTTGTCCACATCATTCCCCTCTGCTAACCAGACGATAGTAATTTAATCATTCGGAAAACCCCCACAATTCCAGTACCGCAAGCCTGACCAAAGCCGGGTGGATATACAACAACAGCAATAGCCTCATAGTAGCGATTCATGGTATTCGCCCACAATCTGACACCACCCACCGTTCGTCGACATTTCCATTTCAACGGAAAATGGATGGAATTTCGGCGGGATTACAATCCGGCATCCTTTCAACACCCTCCGAATCCATTGTGTTGTGCCGTGGAACGTGTCAAGCTAGAAATGCCGGTAGGCATCTTATTGAATGTGATTTCCTGTTTTTATGAGGAAACTATAACGACGCAGACTGTCGTATAAAAGCAGCTCTGTACCTGGTCCCTGCCTAGAATGTAAGGTATGAAGAGGCTTAAGATAGAGATTCTCCAGGATAAAAATACATTCTGTAATAGAATTTATATAATCTTTTGAGGACGGTTCTGGCGCAGCAGTTACAAAGCATGCCTCTTACTTTGACGAGACATAAATAACCAAAAAACTGTTAATCTGACTACATAGAGCCATACTCCCAAAATAACTAAACTGTGGTCCAGTTATTACCCATAAGTAAATCGTATTTTATAGCAGCGGTCGGTTAGTCGGTCCTGCAATGTTTTGATAGTAGTTGGATTTGAAAGTGCTCCTCCTCCAGTGCTAAAAGTTTCGATACGATTCGTGCAGTTTTCAAAAGTTGTGCAATAGTACGTTCAGACTACAGATTTATAACATGTTATAGCGCTATCTTGATGGTGGTTTCTGTGTTGCAATTATTTGACAACCGTTATAACATGTTATAACTCTCCAGTCTGGACAGCGTTCATGATGAGCTGCCATATGGAAGACGAAAATCGATTTTGCAAACCAATTTTCGCACACTGGGGCAGAATCTACTTTTGCTGGACCAAATTAGTAGCATTTCACCCATGCAGCCTAGGGATTTGGTGTCTTTGGTAAAGTTTTTCGAGTGAATAAGGACTTTCTTATGACGTAATTAATTAAGTTCCAGATTATTTCACCCAGATGGCACTACAACTTAGTTTTTACAGAAGCATCATAGCAAACAACTCTCTTCGACTAGTTTCAATTTTTTTTTTGAAAACTCTTTCCAAGACGTCAGAATTCCACAGCCTAAATACTGAGAATGAGATTGATGATGGTCACACCTCTTACCCCTACAAAGGTGTGAGCTGAACGATTTATCTCTAATATAATTAAGTATGACATCTTAACCCGATTAGCAAACAAAACGAACTGATAACAGTTTCAGATATAAAATCCCTCAACAATTTGCAGTTGCTCCACAGCGATATAAATGTGATGAAAAAGCTTAGGTGAACTCAAATATTCACAGGCATTCTCAGCTATCAACCCAACCCAAGTAACAATTTTGCAGCCTTTTGGATTTCATACTGATTTATTGTTGTTTTATAATGGCAACAAGCAATCTTTTTAGTTTAAATACAGCATTTAAAAGTGCAACACATGCTTGGTTAGTATTTCAGCATTTTGCTGTTTTCAAAACCATTTAAAGTCTGACGATAAAGTCAAAACGGGTCTGGTTTTAAAAATGAATTTGAAGCAACACTCTTTCCCTGTATTAAACTGTTCAGTTAGTCAATCATAAACGTGCTCGGTATTTTTTATTGATGTCATGACAAAATACTCCATAAAGGTATTATAAAACCGTTCGGTTCCAAACGGGAACAAAAAGTATATATTGCTGCTCTTTGGTGTCAATAAAGTGTATCACAAAACTCTCTACTGTTTACGAATTAAACTAAAAATATGGATTCGCTTAGATACAGAGAAAAAATAAAACGATTAGAGCTTTTAAACGAAGTATCACAAGGAAATGACACAGGATAGTCAAATAATAATACTAGAGATAGTAGGAGGAATAATTGTAGCGATGCTGCCGACGGAAAGGAAAAGGACTCCAATTCTAGAATTTCCTGGGAGGCCCAGCAGCTCTGAATGAACCTGTCAACAATGACAGAACAGCCAACGGAGAAGAGTGAGTGAATGCGGAAAGCACTGTAAGCCGTCAAATTAGACGCTTAAAATGGATGGGAATACCCAAAATATTGTCAATGGCGTTTGCGACACTATCTGAATAAACTCAGACCAACCTTCTCCAGAAATCGTGTTTTGATGATTCGAATAACATGTATCAGTTCTAAACTGGAAACTGACTGCCTTCTGGACCATAGCAGTAGCTTCATTCGGTGAAAGGGTCAACTCTTCCAAAAATCCAAGCAAGCGCACATTAATTTCCTCGGATCATCCGGGAGAAGGGGAACTTTTTGGGAACGATTGAGCTTCCACCTGTTCCAAGATATGCATATACACTTCCTGATCCAACTGCTTGCAATGAATGATCGCCCTTATCGAGGATGGCACGCAACTTGTTGATCCAACGCAGGAGTAGAAGCTTGGTGCAATGATCTCACATCAAAACTATCGAAATGTAAACAAATTTGGACGTTTAACTTTTTCCAGGCACCATTAATGCCGTCATAAAACTAAACGGAATAGGATCAAGCAAAATGGCCTCAGATAAATACAATTCAGTCTGCAAATTATCTTCATTAAAGCCAAATTAAAACGTTTTGTATTTGTCAGCGATTTCATGAAAGCAAAATAGTTTTTTCACAATTGGCCTATAGAAAATCAATTTTTATGCCACCGCCACATTGCTATTACATTTGTTTTTTCTACTACCTTCATAAATTCATCAATGAGCAGTAATAGAGATTCCGACAATCATTAAATTATCTCAGCTGGACGCAATGCTTGATATAAAATATAACTATACGATGTTTCCTAAATTAAAAATAATATGTAAAATCAAAGATTTCCGAACGCGGACTTATTTTTTCGATCTTTCGAAGCACTTTCCACATTAGATTTAATCCATCACATAAAAATAGACCACAAAATGAGAGCTGCTTTGATAATTCGGTAATTTTTTCACATTAGATGAGGAAATTTAAAAGATTAATTTTTGAACAATGAATTTGGCAAGATCTGATGATATTTATGTATCCCTTTTTATCTTGATTGATGCTTTTATTGTAGTTTTCATAAGAATTTCAAATGGTTTTCAATGCTTTCGTCGTACAACTTTTTTGCAGCAAATCAATCTTGAAGTGCCTCGAAAACATTCATGTTGTGCATCATAAACTTCCCAATTTAATTCTGTTTACAAATTGAGCTTAAAAGATGGCTCCTGATAGTTGATAAAAGCCAAATTTATATCTCGAAAGATATACGAAGTAGAATGAAAAATTCATGTCGATTTTAGACAAATTTACTTCTTTAGAAGAACCAGCACAGAATACACCCTTCAGAACCTTCTCCAGGGTGGGCAAACTAGAAATATTCTAGTCTTAATGAGGTTTTAATGGCTGCATTAATGATAAAATAGCCTTGACCAGGGTTTTATGAATGTTGTTTTATAGTTACTTTGTAGTATTTCATAAAACTTAAAATGTTACTTGGGAAGAGCTCATGAATAATCAAAAAATCATCCTTTTACACTAGAACCCCCGGAATCTGATGCTATAATAATTTTCAGCAATATTAGGAATGCTCACTAAATAGGGGAATTTACGTATTCTCGTCAATCTAAGCAGCGTCTGCACTTCTACTAGCATTTTCTCAGCGTCACGCACATATATGATGTGTCTGTTTGTTTACATTCATCTGCTGCTTGCTTCTCTATCCATTCCAATCGACAGAATTTTTCAAAACGTTTTGAAAGCATTTTTACAACGCTCCAAACTTCCCAGGTGAGTGTGACTATTGTCGGCAGTCTCTTTTTCTTCGGCAACCTTCCCATTAGAACTGCGTGTTAACCAGCTGTTCTATTATCGGCAACTCGAAATCAACCTCATTTTGTACTGCGTATGCTTTATTTGAAGAAAAATGTAGCATTACTGGATTGCTCGATCGTTCAAATATAATCAGATTGAAGCTGAAAGGCTAAACAATCGTTTAGACACATTCAGGGAAGTGCGTTGATGGGAAAACATAGTGAAATTGACGTTTAAATTTTGGTTGCCGAAAACAGTCAATGGGTGCCGAAGCCAACATTTACCCTACTTAAAAAAATAAATTCGAAAATCTCCACTTATCGATCTTGATCATAAAAACATGTCATCCATAATTTTCATACAACGGAATGAACGAAAAGTGGTCCATTGCAAAAATCGCTAAAATGAATTCTTATTCTGTGCGTATGAAAAAGTATAAAAGATGATCCACATTTTGTATAAAAATTAAATTTTATATTTACCTCATGGCTCTGGGGGTGGGTATGACCCAAACTCTCCCCCCCCCTCCTCGCAGCACCAGTGATTTGAAGTA